ATCGGATATTCCATGACTACTTGGATAAGTTTGTCATCGTGTACCTCGATGACATACTTATTTTTAGTAAGACTGTCGAGGAGCACGTAGCACACTTAGACAAAGTTCTCAGTCTCCTGCGACAGCACAAGTTCAAGATCAACGGTGAAAAGTGTGAGTTTGGCCGCACCCGTATCTTGTACTTGGGTCATGAGATCTCCGCGGAAGGGTTGAAGCCCGATGACGCGAAGGTGGCCAGCATTCGTGATTGGCCACGACCTCAGTCTGTGACTGAGATAAGATCTTTCTTAGGAATGACAGGCTACTACCGGACTTTTGTAAAGAACTGGGTCAGAGACTTTGGACTACCAAAGTCTATTGTTAGTGACAGGGACGTACGGTTCACTAGTGAACTATGGAAAGCCTCTGCAGCTGAACAAGGAACTCAACTGCAGATGACTTCTGGAAGCCATCCAGAAGCTAACGGCCAGGCGGAGCAGATGAACCGCGCGGTGCAGCACCTGTTGAGGCACTACATCAAGCCTAACCAGGTGGACTGGGACGAAAAGCTTGCTTTAGTTGCCAGTCTGTATAACAACGCGGTACATAGTGCTACAGGAGTGAGTCCTAACAGCCTGCAACTAACGTTTAAGCCTAGACTGCCCTTAGACTTTTTATTACCTGACAATCAGCCAGACGCTGCACCCGGCACTCTAGAGTTTGCCTATCGTTATGAACAGAAGATGCAGGACGCTGTAGAACACATGCAGAAGGCACAGTCTGCAATGATTGAGTCCGAAAATAAACATCGCCGCCCTTCTGCATTTCAGGTTGGGGACAAAGTCTGGGTCAAGTCCTCAGAACTTGGACAGGAGTTTGGGATDTCTCGCAAACTCATGCCTCAGTACTTTGGGCCTTGGGAAGTCTTGGACGTAGTTGGGACAGATCCAGATGGGCCATCCTATGTCATCCGTATCCCTGGTCACCTGCGCACCTACCCTGTATTTCATGCCTCCAAGCTCGCTGTTTTCAAGGAGACTGACCAGTTTCCTACTCGCCGTTCTATGTTGCCCCCAACCATGGATGGAGAAGTCGACATCGATGATATCGTTGATCACAGAGAGATACCCGTTCAGAAGCCTCCAGGAAGAGGACGTCCTCCCAAGCCAAAGCTGCAGTTCCGTGTTCGCTTCAGACATCATACAGATCCGAAGGAGGACCGCTGGTTTACTCGGGAGGAACTGATGCAGACCGCCCCTCAAATCGTTGCCCGCTATGAGAGGGATGTTTTGAAAGGAAAGCGCCAGCTGGCGGCAGATTGATCTTCTCAGAGGACTAACGAAGATATGGAGGAGGGAATGCGAGGCTACGCCCGCTTAGCCCCTACGGGCCTTATTTGCAGCAAGGTCGGCCGCCCTAAGTGAAGGCAGGCACGACAGGCCCTCAGGGCCTCG